ATGGGAGTATCACACCGCACAGGGAGAGATAAACACAGTGGAAGACTTGTCCATGCGATACGGCAGAAAACACTGAAAGTGCAATTCGCTCCACAGAATCCTCACAACCAGTCACAAAGGAAAGCCGAGTAGATCACATCCAGAACACAATGAAGCAAAGATAGTTCAAACACAGTATCCACATTGTTTATTAAACTCAGAGTCTCGATTTGAAAGAATAACCCCAATAGTTCAAACACAGTATCCACAGTGTTTATTAAACTCAGAGTCTCGATTTGTCAGAATAACCCCAGAACTGTGATGCGCTGCTCATTCCTGAGCAGCGCTTCTTTCCCCAACCCTGAGTAACCGTTATCACTACCCCTGAGCCCCTGAAACAACCAGCGCCACCGGGATACTGCCTCCAGAGGGAAGCGCCACGCTGATACAGGACTCTGAGGCCACGCGCCTCTCAGAGGATGAAGAAGAAGACCAGCACCACAGTCTCTGATGATGATGAAGTGCCGGATGACCTCCCGGGTGGAGATCTAAAGCAGCACCACCTCTCCTGGCAAAGATTATCTCTGAGGAAGAAAGCTGCAGCTATGGCTGCAGCGCCATACCCCTTACTTCCCTACTACCGAGGAGGGTTCAGCAGGGCACCAACTTCTCTTGCCTCCAGCAGACTTCAGATAGCCCGGACCTCTGAACAGCCCCGTGTGCAGTCAGAGAACAGTGCAGGTCCCAGCTATGGCCGACGGTTTGCAGGTCCGGCTATGTCTGTCTCGTCCAACGCTGAAGCTGTACGACCTCCAGTTCAAGCGTTGCGCAGCTGTGCTGTCCACGGTACCAACTGCCAAAAGCCCCGAACAGTTTTTCCTAGACCTATTCATAGTCTACCCTAGCCTAGACACGGCCTAGACCGGACTGACTGGACGGACTGGTACCGTTTCAGTTCGACCTCTAGGGCCTCTTCCCGCTCGGCTATCGGCTATAGGACCATCTAGCAGTATAGGCCCGTAGGCCCTTCTGTCTTAGTGGTACCCCGTGTTTGCTATTTGCAATTAGAGTCAGTGTAGGAAATTTAGGTTAGTGCGGGCCTGTAATTTTCCCGAATTTATAGATATGTTTCTTACGAATTTCCCCACAGGCAGATCTCTCGGATAGCCCTCAGCCACACAAAATCGCGAATCTGTTCTACCTATGTTACAACCTCAGGTCGACGGGTCGCAGGCTGCAGAACCAGCAAGTCATTGCAGACCTACCCGTGCCCGGAGTGAGGACCTCCGACCTAGGAGTGCAGGCGTGCAGAGCGTCGAGGGTACTCTCCCTTCTTGGCTGCCTCGTACTTGAGGGCAGTAGACTTTTCTGTCTTGAGGAGTTCCTTGCGTGTGAACCAGTGATCCTCAGTGTGAGGCTGGTACATGAACTTCACAAGATACTGCATGTCTGGGCCTGTGCCCATCTCATCCTTTATCTTCTCCACCTCATATCCCTTTCCCAGGATCGGTGGACCGTATTGAGGGGGTCTGTCCGGAAATGCATCAGCTGAAGTAAAATCGCAGCAGCTTAGATGCATGGAAAACTGGATAGGTTTGTAGATGCAAAGGGACGTCAACAGCATAAGACGGTCCAAAGGGATCAACTCCCGTTGTATCTAAAACCTGCCATGGACCCATGTATCGTGGCAACAGCTGAGGCGATATGTGCTCCTCACGTGAAAGCTCAGAACCGAGCACCCAAACCCAGTCACCTGTGCGAATGGTAGACGGGCGGCGGTGCCTGTTAGCCTGCTGAATCATAGCCTTTTGGGCTTTGAGCAGGTTGGCACGGACGCGCTTTATATCCAGACGATAACGCCTGGTGAACTCTGCGGTTCCAGGTGTCAATGTAGGAGTAGCCTTATCGATGATATCATTGAGAGGCTATCGTGGTTCAAGACCCAGTGTAATCTGTAGGGTGTGAAGCCAGTGGAGGAGTGGACATAAGTATAATACACTGGGGCAGTAGTTGGGCAATGGTATGACGAGTCTTCTCTCCAAAAGAGTGAGTGAAGGAGATCAGAAAGAGAGCATCATGCCTACGAGAGAGGGCGTCTGCTACTTCGTTTTAGCAGCCCTTCTTGTGTTTCAGTTCAAAGTCAAACAGGTCAATGAACTGAATATAGCGGGCAAGCTTGTCATTCAACTCTCCCTGGGACTCCGTCCACTGACGGGTGGAGTGATCTGAAAAGATCTTCAAGTGTCTCCCAGGAGAAAATGTTTCCAATGCTTGAGCGTTGACATAAGAGCATAGAGCTCCGTCGCATAGGTAGAGTCCAACAACTTCTTAGCCTTGATCTTCTTGCTCATGTACTCTACAGGCTGCAGACCATTCCCACCATCTTGCTGAAGTACCGCCCCTACACCATACTGACATGCATCATTGGTTAGCACAAAAGGCAAGGTAGGGTCAAGTAACTTCAGAATAGGTGCACAAATCAGGACCTCCTCGAGACATGTAAAACCCTCCTGACAGTCTGATATCCAAAGAAAGGAAGTATTTTTTTTTCTGAGGTCAGTCAGGGGTGCTGCAATGGAGGATAAGTTCTTGATGCACTTCCGATAATACGATGCAAGACCCAGGAAAAATCGGACATCACGAACATTCAGGGACTTCTGCCGGTCCTGAACAACAACAACTTTTGTTGCTTCAGGAGCCAACCTCTTTCCAGATTGACATGACCCAGATAGACAACAAAGCTAACTCCAAAAAAGGACTTCTCTCTGTTGATCTTATACCGGTTGTCATGTAAGGCCTGAAGGACAAGAGTCAGATGTTGCGCAAACTCCTGCACAAAATAACTGAATATCAGGATATCATCCAGATAGACAACTACAAACTTATCCAGGTAAGGCCTGAGTATGCGATGCATCTCTGTCTGGAAGGTGCCAAGGGCATTGCGAAGACTGAAAGGCATGACCAGGTACTCGTATGTACCATATCTGGTTTTGAAGGCTGTCTTGTGGACATCACCTTCAACCATCTCAAATCTTGTGTTTGCCAGATTTGAGATCGATCTTGCTGAAGATAGTGCAGCCTTGCATCACGTCCAACAGACCATTGATCCGAGGAAGAGGCTCTGTCAACTTCCTCGTGATCTTGTTGAGTCCCCCGTATTCCACACACATTATGAACTCACCGTTTCCCTTTGGAACAAAGAGAACTGGTGCCCCAAATTCAGATGTGCTGGGACGTGTCCATCCCTTGCTGGTCAGGGTCTGTAACTGTTTCTTCAGCTCATCAAGTTCAGCAAAGGACATCCTGTAGACCCGACCCTTGGGAGGGACCTTGCCAGGGAGGAGCTCAATCTTATGCTTGGTCTGCCTATGGACAAGTCCAGTAGGCTCCTGTATAAGGTCTGAGAACCGGTCAACCACTTGCTAAATATGAGAGGGGCAGGGAGCATTCTCCACATCAATCTGTTTAACATATGCTACAAATAGACGTGTGTGGTCAGTCTGGCGTGAAAATCGCAAAAAACTACGAGGACGCATACAATAACAGCTACTGGCCGGGTGATACTCGTTAGCGGGTATACAAGGGCAATACTCCCCTCGCCGGTTAGGTAGCTCAACCCTAGGGATCCGCCAGTCGATCCTAGGATTGGTGGCCTCAAGCCAATGTAGGGAGAAAACAAGGTTAAAGGGTACATTGGGGAAAACATAGAAATTCAAGCGTTGCCTAATTTCTCCCTTCTTGTCAAAGCCTACTGGTAGACCTTTGCCAGCAATAGTGATCCTAACTGTGGATGAGTCACCTATGCAAAACTCAATTGGTTGTCGCAACTTTACGAGTCTCTGGTCCAAGTGCGGCGTGCTGATTGTCTTGGGAGACGTGAAGTTACGAGTGGCCCCACAGTCCAAGAGTCCTTTGAACCTGGCTCCCAAGATAGAGGGTCGAAGCAGGATGAGATCTGACCTATGCTTCTTTCTTTCCTGCAAAAACAGGAAGAGATCAGCAAGGCTCTGAGATTCATCATCCTCCCGCGTCTCATCCAGATCAGTGTCCTCATAAGTGAAGGACCCTGATGCTGCAACTCCGCAAAAAGAACCAGCTAGAGAGGGTGAAGATTCATCTTAAAAAAAGATGGGTCAACACTGGTGGAAGGAGCTGCTGCTTCCACCTCTCTCCACTCTAGTTTTTTTAACTAGAGCCTGAAGGCCTGCGAGGCATGCTGGGACAGTCCTTAAGAAAATGGTTCCGCTCGCATCTCAGGCAGACTCCCGTGTTCTTCCTCTTCCTCCGAACTCCCTCTTGGATTCTGAGTGCATGCCAGGGGAAGGTGGAAGGATCAAGGGGGTCAGCTGGCCAACGGACATCTTGTGGTAGAGGAACTCTTTGGGCACCAGGGGAAGAGGTACGTCCCTTGCCTTTCCCCGTGCTGCTGGTTGATGCT